GGAAGATTAAATTAATTCATGGTTTATCCAATTTTTTATAAAATGTTTAATTTATTTACAAATACATCAATTTATAGAATAGTATTTAATTATGAAATATAATTATTAAAAAGTTAACATTCATATTAAATGTATATATTTTACTTTATTCTTTATACATTATTTCTAAATTAATTATTTGCATTCAAAAAGTTCTAATCAATACTTGATAATTTCTAAATTACATTACTTTTTGTACAAGGATATCTCTTAATGATCAAAAAAATCAATTCAAAACAAGTCCTCTATTCTATTTTTATTAATTATATCATTCGTGATATAATAATGGAATATTCATTTCATTATTATTTTCTAATTATAAATTCATATTTTAGTTAGCAGACATGAAAACTATGTAAAAGTCAATCAACTAACTTGTAAAAAAAACTGATTAGAATTCAACATTTGATAATTGATGATGTAATTTATTAAAAAACTCTGATTTGATCCAAATTCTTATCTATAATAAAGTATTTTCTGAGGATTAATTAGATTTTAAAGGTTGTAAAATACTTTTAATTTAATATTATTTAAAAAATAGGATACTAAGATATTTTAAAAATTTATAAGTGTTATCAATATACTTTTCTGTAAATTTAATATTTTAAATCATCATAATTAGATTTTAAAAGCTATCATCATTCATTTTTAAAGGAATAGAAAATTACATTAATCTATTAATGTAAATTATTTATTATTAAAAATCATAAGTAATTGCAATTTTCATTTTGAACAGTTAAACCTTTTCTAAATTAATAAAAATACAAATAATTAAAATAAAAAATATGAATTCTTAAAATTAAAGTTACTTAGAATCAAAAAAATGGAAGCAATACTTAAAAGAATATGAAGTTGATAAGTTAGATAAAACATAATAAAAACTTATAAAGACTAAAATACAGATCATAATTACATAAGATAATTAAATTATCTATTTATAAGACGGTGCAGTATTAAGAAAGTAAATGAATTTTTTTTATTAACTCAAAGTGAAATACTTTACTATATTTCTGAAAATCTGGAGATTTTGAAAAATTTAGAATTAATCAAAAATCTTAAATGGTTAGGTGAATATGGAAATAACAAAAGAAAAATTGGTAAATGGTAGGCTTTTTGGCAAGGATAACTTTTAAATTAAGTTGGTGGGTACTATGAGGATGGTTAAAAATCGGGTTTCTGGAAAGAACTAATTGATAATTATTGGATGTATATTTAATCTTATCTTATAAACTAGTTAAGCTCAAGTCTATAGCATTGGATAGTATATTAATGGTAAAAAAATAGGAGCATGGAAATATGTTTATCATAATAAAAATATGTATTTATAAAAATAAAATAAAATAGTGGTGGAGGATCATACAATGAGGAAATTTTAAAGAATGGCAAATGGATTGAGTTGAGGGATGGATTTTGTAGTTTATCATAAATAGTTTATAATGGAGATTATAAACATGGTAAAAAGGTTGTTAGATGGTAAACTTTGTATAGGGATTATAGAAAAGATAAATTTGAATTAATGTAAATTGTAATTACTAGAGTATTAGTGGTGGTGGATTATATGATGAAAGGGTTGAAGATTCAATAAAGATTGGCAGGTGGATAGAGTTGAG